GGAGATGGTGGGTCTCAGCAGGAGAGTTGGGCAGGCCCTCTTACACACCTCCACGGAGGGGTGAGTCGCGATCCCACCCATGCGCTGTTATTTCTGTGTGTGGTACCTATTTCTCCGTCCTTCTCTCCTCAGGCCCTCAGCATCCTCATGCTCCCTCACAACATCCCATCCAGCCTCAGCCTGATCACCAGTATGGTGGATGACATGTGGCACTATGCTGGGGACCAGTCCACTGACGTGAGTGCTTTCTGCATACCCACAGGATACCGGAAAAGGCATGGGTTAGGCATTTCTTCAGGAAGTTTGTGAAAGTTCTTTGATCACAGATCCCTTTAGGGGGCCTGCAGTGCCATTCTTGTCATGGGAAGGAGAGGCTAGGGGTGGGGAAGGTCCCTCAACAAGCCACAGTGGGAGCCAGGTCCTCACTCGAGGGCCAGCACCCTAGCCACAAATAAGCAATTGTTCCCTCTGACCTCTAGTGGTGACTGGGCTGCCATTTTATAAGTATTTTCTCCTCAGTCTCCTAAGATTCAGATTCTGCGGTGGGCTTTTTCAGTGTGTGTTTTTCATGAGACTGATTTTTAAAAAGGGGGGGCCCTGGATAGCTCAGTGGGTTACGTGTCCGACTCTTGATTTCACCTTGGGTCTTGATCTCAGGGTCATGAGTTCAAGCTCCATGCTGGGCAGGGAGCCTACTTTAAAAAAAAAAGGAAGAAGAATGCCATGGAGCCACCAGTTGCTTTGACAAGGAACTCCCTCCCCCCAGCCCACTTTGGCCTGCTTTGCTAAGAGATCAATAAGCCTTTAAACAGGCACCAGGAAAGAATCTGACTTGTTAATGCTATCATATTTCTGGTAGGAAATTAAAAAATAAAAAGTGTACCTTCATAAAAGAAATTAATTTGTGATGGTGCTTTGTGGAATCCAGGCTGGGGAAGCAAAGAGATACTCCTGCCACAGTTCTAACAAAGGACTTTAATAAGCTTCCCCCGTGTGGGAGTACAATCACCAACAGAGTTGGTGACAAAATGAAATTAGAAAGCCGAGAAATTAAAGGAATAAAACACGAAGCAGCTGAGCTAGTGCTCCGAAGAGCAGTTTGCTGGGCCAGCCTGAGTGGCCGAGGGACCGGAACCCTCAGCTCGGCCCAGGTGTTCTGATCTGTCCGTGGTCCTGTCTCCACCCTCACATGACTGATGAACACACCACGGTGTGCTCATAACTGGCTGACCATAGAGCCTCTCTGGCATTTAGGTGGCCTAAGACTTGGTCTTTTCACCAGCAGTTTCAAAATGGACTGGATGTAACAAAATCACCTGGGATGCTTATCAGACATCCAGATTCTTTGCACTTTCTTCAGACCCCCCCCCCCCCGACTCTAAGCTCTAAGAGGTTGGGCCCAGGAGTTTGCATTTTAATCTCCCAGGTAATTTGGTGTGCAGCCAAGTTTGAGAACAGGACTGTTATCCAGGGGGGGACATCTGGAGGAAAGAAGAGATCAGGAGGGAGCCCATGTGTGCCCATGGCTTTGGGTAGGAACCACCCCCGACTTCCCCCAGTCCACAGCAGTAGTGGTGACCCACCTTCCTGAATGGGTTATTTTGCAGTTTAACTGGTATACCCGCCGAGCTGTGCTGGCTGGCATCTACAACACGACAGAGCTGGTGATGATGCAGGACTCCTCTCCAGACTTTGAGGACACTTGGCGCTTCCTGGAAAACCGCATTAATGACGCAATGAACATGGGCCACACTGCCGAGCAGGTAGTTGGGGCTAGCCCTTTGGGAAGCTGCTTCGTTAGACACACCACCCTCCTCAAGCCACAGCTGGTCTTCTGTCTTCTTGCTCCCCTTTGGCCTCAGAGGACAGTCCTGAGGGCCTGCCCAGGGAGTCTGGCTGGCTCTTCCACATACCAGCCCTTCCCTAAGAGCCACACTTGGGTCATTTGTGGTTGTGTCCACAGGCTCTTCCTCTAGTCCACAGGGTCCTCATGAGCCGCCCCCCCCACTCCCCCACCCCCCCTGCCGATTTGTCCTGCCTATTTCACCTTTGAGCTTGTGTTGGGCGCTTAAGAGAACCGGACCTTGACTCCTTCTAGGTAAAGTCTACTGGAGAGGCACTGGTGCAGGGACTCATGGGTGCAGCAGTGACGGTGAGTACCACCCCGCTCACCCCTGCCCTCCTCCCCTTCCACTCCTGCACTGTGATCCTTACAACGTGTGTCGAGGATCCCAAAAGCCTTACACCGGAAAGCTACTAATAAGACTGATAGTGGTTCAGCCCCAGTCTCTGATTCCGAATTCCCTACCTCTTTTTTTTTTTTTGCTGCCATTAAAAAGCATGGCTGACTCCCAGGCCCCTGGCATGTCAGATCCGTGGGTCTTAGCCATGCCTGCCACCTTGAAAATCCCAGTCTTTCCCATTGGAGTCCTAGGGACAGGGCAAGGCCTCATCATTCCCTTTGCTTCCCTATATCAGCTCAAGAACTTGACAGGTCTAAACCAGCGCCGGTGAGCGGGACGGTGTGAGGTCGAGTGCCCAGAAAAAAAGCTGCAGGTACATTGAAAGGGCTTTGAAAAATATGAAGTGCCGTTCAGGGTGTTAATGAGGAAACGCTGAAGGACTCCTTAGGCACTACAACAGCCACCTGGAAACCAAAGGGCACTCGATACAGCTGTACCCTACAATTGGGTCACCTCTTCAGTTCCAAATACCAGGCCAGGCCTCCTGATGCCTTTCTGCGTTGCAGCTGTGTGATCGAAAAATGAAGCTCTCATCCAAGCCATCGAGCCACAGAAACCCAGCACGTCCCTGTCATGGTCTCACGGATGCCTTGATCATGTCTTAACCTTCCTAAAGTGTTCTCTGGGGCTCCCAAATGAGAGTCAGGGTGTGGAGGCATTACAAGGTGGCCGCACACCCCTGGCATGGCCCGGACTTGTGCACACAGGTGTTACACACACACACACACACACACACACACACACACACACACCCACACACCCACACACACACCCACCCCCCGGTGTCCTGTGCTGCACCTGGGAACCCTTCAGAAAGCTGCCTCACCTGAGACTGGTACCTCCGGACAGCAGTGCTCAGCCTGGCCAGAGGCGGGAACCTGGGCCCTTTGTCATGTTACACAAGCACGTGTGGCAGGGCTAGCAGTGAACTTTAGAGGATAAAAATAGTAATAAATATGTTTGAAGCGGTTTCATGTTGGCAGTTAGTTTCCATCTGGGCCACAGCGGGTATCCAGGACCCCAGAAGGAGATAGTAGTGATGCCGGAAAGGCTTGAGGCTGGCAGCCAGAAGGCCCGGGCTCTGGTCCTTGTGCGGCCTACTGCTAGTGGGTGGTCACGGCAGGTCTGCCTCCCTGGGCCTGTGCTTCCCTTCTGGAAGTGTGGGTGATGGTGGCCTTCCCTGCACTGTTAGCTCCCTTGGCTGCTATTTTCTATCACTGATCATTTCAGGGATCTGTTCTTTAGCATTAATTTCCTCTGTCTCTACAGTGGCTGGGCTCCCTTTGCAAGTCTGGTTAACTTTTTTTTTTTTAAAGATTTTATTTATTTATTTGAGAGAGAGAGAATGAGAGAGAGCACGAGAGGGAAGAGGGTCAGAGGGAGAAGCAGACTCCCTGCTGAGCAGGGAGCCTGATGTGGGACTCGATCCCGGGACTCCAGGATCATGACCTGAGCCGAAGGCAGTCGCTTAACCAACTGAGCCACCCAGGCGCCCCCTGGTTAACTCTTTTGTAGTCTTCTCGAGCTACTATAACAAAATACCATAGATAGGGTGACTTTACAACAGACATTGGTTTCTCACAGTTCTGGAGGCTGGGAAGTCCAACATGAAGGTGCCAGCCAGTTCCTGGTGAAGTCTTTCTGACTTGCCACCTTTTCTCTATGTTCTAACAGGGCAGAGAGCGAGCTCGCTCCAGTGTCTCCTCCTGTTCTTATAAGGGCACTCTTCCTTTCAGGAGGGCACTATTCCTACTCTCCTGACCTCCCAAAGACTCCATCCCCAAATACCATGTTGGGCATTAGGCTTTAGCATTTGAGAGGAACACAATTCAGTCCAGAGCATCTGTCTTCTGCGTTGCTCTGTCCGACCTAAGTTGACAGGGTATTGATGGGGGAAGTCACCAGCTGACAGGTGTTTCCAATCTTTTGGCCTTCCACCTGCCCCTTTCTGCACCTCTTTAATTCTTTGTATCATGACTCCCTGTCAAGTCCCCTACGTACCAAATTTCATTCCATTCTCATGGTTCCATAGCATCCCTCTTGCACTCAACAACCTTAATCCTTAATTTCCTGAGATGACACAGGCTGTGAAGCACAGGCCCCCTCAGTGCCCTTTCTCTCTGTCTCAGGAAGAGTGTCACCCCCAGCTAAGGCAAACTCTTTATCTCCTCTCTTACTTTTCTGCCCCTTAAATGTAGCTCCTGCTAAGTTCTATTTTAGAGCCTCTTCTCTGTTATGAGCAGGTGCCCATTCAGACCTTTCTCCAGGCTATGGGTGGGGTGGGGTGGGGTGGGGGGTTTTGGTACTCTCTATTGAGCATCTGCACACTGCCAGGCATGTGGAGATGAAGAGCCCCCACCCACCTGCCACAAGTACACAGACTGCAGATGATGCATTGAAGTGAAAAGCATTGTATCTTCCTGCAGTTTCAGAGAGCGTGAGCCGGACTTTGAAGTATACTTATGTTCTTCCATAAATGTGCAGATTTACTTCATTTTTTTAAAGGCATCGTAGTGGTCTATGTTTTGTATATTTAACCTGGTCTCTGTCAAATACCTAGTTTTGTTATCTTTTGCTGTTACAAACAGTGCTGCAGGGAACGCCCCCGAACGTGTAACTTTGAAGACAGCTGCAGCCGTTTTCGTAGTATGAATTCCTAGAAGTGTTATTGAGTCGAGGGCGTGCACAGGTTTTGCCAATTCCCGCCCCCGCCCCTCCCCTCCCACAGTTGAACCTGATGCACTTCAAGCAGGTGGGGGTGTAAAACGGGGCCCGGAGCGGCAACGGCCTCCGAGCGGCAGATGGCGCTGTGAGCGCGTGTCTGCGGAAGCGGCGCGGGCCGCGCTGACCCAGTTCCGGCGGCGGCGGCGGCGGTGGCGCAGGGAGCCGAATCCCGGGAGCTGGCGGCTTGTGGGGCACCATGCCATATGCCAACCAGCCCACCGTGCGGATCACGGAGCTCACCGACGAGAATGTCAAGTTCATCATTGAGAACACGGACCTGGCGTAAGGCCCATGAGGGAGGAAGCTGGCGGCTGTGGAACGCGGGGGGCTGGAGTCGGGCCGGGCGGGGGTCACGTCCTTCTAGAGCTGGGCTCCGCCACCTTCGCGGTCGAGGCTGCGGCGTCCTCACGCGGCTGGGTTTTCATCCCTCAGGGTGGCCAACTCTATACGGAGGGTCTTCATCGCCGAGGTGCCCATAATAGGTAAGTGAAACCCGCCTGTCGTGGCCAGCCCCCTCCGCACACCTTGGGGCTCCTGCTCCTAGCGCTTGGTTAGGCGGGGGCGGGGGTGTCCTGGGGGTGGCTCTGAGAAGACAGCAGTGCTGTACCGCTGGCCCAGGGCCGCTAGGGTCCACTCTTACATACGCGTCGGTGAGGAGCGGGGGTTCGGGAGTCTGCGTATTTGGATTTGAATACCGTTCTCACGTACTGTCCCTGTGAAACTTGGGCAAGTTTTTCAACTGTGTGCTGCGGTTTTCTCTGTAACATTCGGACATTAATAGTACTTAAAAGGTGATGGCAAGGATTAAGTGAGGGAATCCCTATTTTAAATGCCTTATGTTCAGTACCAGTAGGTGTCTTTTTGGGAATCCGTTCCTTCAGCTGCACTTAGAGAACATGTAACTGCCAGGCAGTGTGCTAGGAACTGGGAATGCAGAGCTGCATAGTGCAGGGTTCTTGCCCTCATGGAGCGCACAGTGAAGTTGCAGGGCAAAGGCGAATCCACGGATAACAGTACTGCAGGATAGACGTGGATCAGTAGGTAGCTCAGAAGCATAACTACAGTGCTGTTGGCACTCAGAGGAAGGAGGATCTGTTCTGGTTCCAGCCACCCTGCTCCAGGTATTTTTCACATTTATAAATATATTACAAATATTTACTGAGTGTCAATTCAAAGTTTGGGTTGGAAAAAGAAGTGTAACTCACAGCTGCTGCACTCCTAAGGAAATAAGCAGGCCAAATGATTGGTAAACAAGAGCGCATTGCAGTTTCCACCACCACCATCTCTAGTCACTTCTTCAGCTCAGAACTTGGAGTGCTGGTCCTTCCCTTCCCTAATCACTCCATGTCTCCTGGGCCTCAGTTTCATCATAAGTGAAATAACGGAGTTGTACTTTTTTTAAGATTTTATTTGACGGCGCACAAGCGGGGGTGCGGCAGGTAGAGGGAGAAGCAGGTTCCCTGAGGAGCAGGGAGCCGGATGTGGGGCTCCATCCCAGGACCCTGGGACCATGACCTGAGCTGAAGGCAGACGCTTAATGACTGAGCCACCCAGGCGCCCCATGGAGTTGTACTTTGAGGCAACATGACATTACAAGTCTAAATGCCATTTTTCCCACAAATTCAGTTCTGCAAATAGTAGCACTTGCTACATTCCAGGCCACAGTGGGAACGCAAAAGTTAAGACATTTGAAGACTCCACCCTAAGGATTTTTCGAAGCTGTGAGGTTGAGACAAGATATATACAAATACAATACAGGGCAAAATATGACAAGTGTAGGGGTGCCTGAGTGGCACAGTTGGTTAAGCATCTGACTCTTGATTTTTGGCTCAGGTCATGATCTTAGGGTTGGGAGATCAAGCCCGGCATCAGGCTCTGTGCTCAGTGTGGAATCTCCCTCTGCCCTTCCCACCCTCGTTCTCTCGCTCTCTAAAAAAATTTTTGAAGTATATATATAATACGTATATGTATAGGACATACATATTGTGTGTTTATATATGTAATAAGTGTCTTTAGTCTGGGCAGAGTCTTGTGAGGGAGGAGCTTGTAGGGAGGGAGTGTTGGTATCTGTATCCTGGAGGTTGAGCAAAGCTTGGTTTATAGGAGCCTCAGAGGATTTTAACCTGCGCAGGAGAGGGTTGGGGCATGTGGGATGGGGAGGGGGGAGGGAGTAAGGCAGAGTCAGAAAAGCTTGGCTCATGATCCTTCTTTGGCTTGGGTTGGGGAAGCAATAGAAAGCATAGGACCCAATCTGCTTTGTCCTGTCTGGTCCTCTTCTGACTCTTCTGACTTCTGTTCCTAGTGTCCACGCCCCTTGTTTGGTGGTTGGCCATTTGATTTATGAATTTGTCAGCATGCAGATGTTTATTAATGAATGAGTATGTGTTTAAGTCAAGTGTGTGTGATAATACAGTTCTTATCCTCTTAGCTCATTCCTGGTAAGCATTGGGTTTGATATTTAGTATGCTGTTTCCATTAAAGGAGTTCTCTAAACATTGGTTGATTGATAATAAAGTGTTAAATTGGGTAATCTGGTCATTGCATCATAAAATGAGATATGGACCATAAGTCTGTCTTTGAGATTTTTCCCTAACTTTTAAGGGCCTGAGTAGTTTGTGTTCTTGGATTTGGTGTTGACAGGAATAACAGACGTAAATGCTTCTCACAGAACTCAGTTCAAAGAAACATGTTCCCACTCCCATGAGTATTCTGAGTCAGTATTTTGTATGGGACAGGGACCCCCCTCCCCCCCTCATTAAATCTGCCTGAGTAGGGAAGGAGGGGGTGTTGCATGTGGTTCCTGTTAAAATGCGGATCCCTGGTCCCCACTTGAGCTGCGGAATCAGCCTCTGGCAGCCTGGCCCAGGCTTTTGTAATTTAGTAAGCGTCAGGTGTTTCTTAAATCTTGAGAACCACTGCTGTAAGTCTTTAAGTGAATTTGGTGGCTAAACTGCATGTCTGCTTTATTTTTTAGCCATTGACTGGGTTCAGATTGATGCCAATTCCTCAGTCCTTCATGATGAGTTCATTGCCCACAGACTTGGTGAGTGCGGGTTTTGAAAGGTGAAAGGGAGGAGGGCTATGCCTGGTATCAGAGGGAGAAGCCTCCTCACTTCCAAGGGGATTTTTAGGTTCTCTTTCTGGCGTGACCATTTGGACTTCTTTAAAGTGCTTCTTTGTTTCTTCCAGGACTAATTCCCCTCACTAGTGACGACATTGTGGACAAGCTGCAGTACTCCCGGGTATGCGGTGTGATTGGGGGGAAGGGGGGCGGGGGTGGAAGGTTCAGGTCTCAGAGGCATTTTCCCCCCACTTCTTAACTTCTAGCTGTTAGCGTGGAGATGTTGCCTGGAGCCTAAGCAGACATGGGTCCTCCATTCTGACAGGCCTCAGATTGATTAGGTTCCAGGGGCATCAGGGAGTCTCTCTAGCCAGCCATACAAGACGGTATACACCAGAATACTCATTTATACTGAACGGTGGGGGTTGGGCCTTTTCAGACTCCGATCTGTTCAGACTCTGCTTTCCAGGGTGTGTTTTCCGAGTAACAGGAGGCTGGGAGGCTAAAGGGAGTCAGCAGAGGGTTGAGGGGTTAGGAGGGCATGAGGGTGAGAACAGAGGGAGTGAGGACTGGCCCCCACAGCAGCACCTGAGGGACTGGAAGGCAGGTGTCTGTGCCTCTCCCCATAGGTGATGCTCGTTAAATATGGCCCCTTCCTCTAGGATCGTGTTTGTTCTCTGGTGATATGTTAACAGGCCTTGGACTTGGTGGGAGCGGGACAGGATTAGGTTCCCTGCTTCCTTTTCCCAGGGCTGCGTTGGGTAACAGCTTGAGCCTTCCCTCTTGGTGGCTTTGGGTGATCCTGAATCAGCCCATCTTCTGATATTCCCAAGGGCACATCATTTTTGTGGTAGCTAACTTGATACATGTTATAAATCTGTGTTTTTTTAAAGAGATGTTTAAGCACACAGAGAAGTGTGGAGTTTATCTGACCAGTGCTCTCGCTCCCGTCAAACAACTTGTCATATTCTAACATTTTGCAATATCTGCTTCACATCTCCAGATTTTTGTTTGTAAGAAATGAAACATCAGGGGCGCCTCGGTGGCTCAGTTGGTTAAGTGTCTGCCTTCGGCTTGGGTCCTGATCCCAGGGTCCTGGGATCGAGTCCCGCATCAGGCTCCCTGCTCAGCGGGGAGCCTGCTTCTCCCTCTCCTCCCTGCTTGCTGTCTCTGTCGCTATCTGTGTTTCTCTCTTTAAATAAATAAATCAAAAAAAAAAAAAAACCTACAGATATTGGTGGGTATAGTTGTACAACCAGTTGAAGAGCAGTTTGGCAATGTCTTAGGTAAAGATACGCATGCACTAAGACCTAGCTTCTGTCTGTTAAATTTTTTTCTAATATTTACTGAACAAAGATGGTATGGATCCCCCTACCCTGTTTTTGGCTTTTTCTCCGAATCTCCAGAAAAGTTAAAAACCTCAAAAAATAAATAGCTATTTACTTTTGACCTTTAGTTGCCAATTGTTAATATTTTGCTACATTAGCTTTATTTATCCTATCCGTGTTATTTTTGCTGAACCATTTGAAAGAAAGTTGCAGATACCATGGCACTTCAGCATGCTTGTCCTAAGAGTAAGGGTACTCTCCCACATAACCACGCTGTCATGCCTAGAGTATTAGCACTAACTGGTCACGTTTGTGCGCAGTCCTCATGCAGATTTTCCTAGTTGTCGCCCACACAGCCTTTCTTGCTTTTTGTCTGTGGGTTGGTCATTCATCCAAGATTCACGCATGCATTTGGTGGTTATACCTCTTTAGTCTCTTAATCTCAGATTCCTCTCCTTTTGTTAAATACATTTTTTTAAGGTTGTGTACCATTTCATATTTTTATTTTTCATGACATTTTGCTTTTTCCATTTCATATTTTTAATAGTTTTGGGTTTTTTTGTTAACATATAATGTATTTGTTTCAGGGGTAGAGGTCTGTGATTCATCAGTCTTAGACAATACACAGCGCTCACCACAACACATACCCTCCCCAATGTCCATCACCCAGCCACCCCATCCCTCCCACCCCCCTCCACTCCAGCAACCCTCAGTTTGTTTCCTGAGATTAAGAGTCTCTTATGATTTGTCTCCCTCTCTGGTTTCGTTTTGTTTCATTCTTTCCTCTGTTCCCCTATGACCCTCTGCCTTGTTTCTCAAGTTCCACATATCAGTGAGCTCTTATGATACTTGTCTTTCTCTGATTGACTTATTTCGCTTAGCATAATACCCTCCTCTAGTTCTATCCACGTTGTTGTTGCAATTGGCAAGATTCCATTTTTTGATGGCTGCATAATATTCCATTGTGTGTATACCACATCTTTATCCATTCATCTGTCATTGGACATCTGGGCTCTTTCCATAGTTTGGCTATTGTGAACATTGCTGCTATAAACCTTGGGGTAAAAAAAAATAACCTTGGGGTGCAGATGCTCCTTTGGATCCCTACATTTGTATCTTTGGGGTAAATACCCAGTAGTGCAATTGCTGGGTCATAGGGTAGCTCTATTTTCAACTTTTTGGGGAACCTCCATACTGTTTTTCAGAGCGGCTCTACCAGCTTGCATTCCTGCCAACAGTGTAAGGGGTTCCCCCTTCTCCGCATCCTCGCCAACATCTATAGTTTCCTGAATTGTTACTTTTAGCCATTCTTACTGATGTGAGGTGGTATCTCATTGTGGGAGTTTTTTTTGTTTTTTGTTTTTTTTAAGATTTTTATTTATTTGACAGCGAGAGAGGGAACACAAGCAGGGGGAATGGGAGAGGGAGAAGCAGGCTTCTTGCAGAGCAGGGAGCCTGATGTGGGGTTTGATCCCAGGACCCTGGAATCATGACCTGAGCTGAAGGCAGACGCGTAACGACTGAGCCACCCAGGCGCCCCTCTCATTGTGGTTTTGATTTGTATCCCTGATACTGAGTGATGTTGAGCACTTTTTCATGTGTCTGTTGGCCATTTGGATGTTTCTGGATTATTCCTTGGGGTTGAGTTTGATAAGTTCTTTATAGATTTTGGATACTAGCCCTTTATCTGATATGTCATTTACAGATATCTTCTCCCATTCTGTCGGTTGTCTTTGGTTTTGTTGACTGTTTCCTTTGCTGTGTGAAAGCTTTTTATCTTGATGAAGTCCCAATAGTTCATATTTGCCCTTGCTTCCCTTGCCTTTGGCGATCTGTCTAGGAAGAAGTTGCTGCATCCAAGGTCGAAGAGGTTGCTGCTGTGTTCTCCTCAAGGATTTTGATGGATTCCTGTCTCACATTTAGGTCTTTCATCCATTTTGAGTCTATTTTTGTGTGTGGTGTAAGGAAATGGTCCACTTTTCATTGTTCTGCATGTGGCTGTCCAATTTTCCCAACACCATTTGTTGAAGAGACTGTCTTTTTTCCATTGGACGTTCTTTCCTGCTTTGTCGAAGATGAGTTGACCATAGAGTTGAGGGTCCATTTCTGGGCTCTCTCTTCTGTTCCATTGATCTATGTGTCTGTTTTTGTGCCAGCACCATACTGCTTGATTACAGCTTTGTAATAGAGCTTGAAGTCCGGAATTGTGATGCCACCAACTTTGGTTTTCTTTTTCAACATTCCTCTGGCTATTCGGGGTCTTTTCTGGTTCCATACAAATTTTAGGATTATTTGTTCCATTTCTGTGAAAAAGTTGATGGTATTTTGATAGGGATTGCATTGAACATGTAGTGCACTAGGTAGCATAGACATTTTAACAATATTCTTCCAATCCATGAGCATGGAACGTTTTTCCATTTCTTTATGTCTTCTTCAATTTCTTTCATGCGTATTCTAAAATTTTCCGAGTACAGATTCTTTGCCTTTTTGCTTAGATTTATTCCTAGGTATCTTACGAAAACGTTTTGGGTACAGTTGTAAATGGGATCGACCCCTTAATTTCTTTCTTCTGTCTTGTTATTGGTGTATAGAAATGCAACTGATTCCTGTACATTGATTTTTATATCCTGCCACTTTACTGAATTCGTATGAGTTCTAGCAGTTTTGGGGTGGAGTCTTTTGGGTTTTTCACATAAAGTATCATATCTGCAAAGAGTGAGAGTTTGACTTCTTTGCCGATACGGATGCCTTTTATTTCTTTTTGTTGTCTGATTGCTGTGGCTAGGACTTCTAGTACTAATGTTGAATAGCAGTGGTGATAGTGGACATCCCTGCCGCGTTCCTGACCTTAGGGAGAATGCTTTCAGTTTTTCCCCATTGAGAATGACACTCGCTGTGGGTTTTTCATAGATGGCTTTTATGATATTGCGGTATATACTCTCTATCCCCATACTCTGAAGAGTTTTGATCAAGGAAGGATGCTGTACTTTGTCAAATGCTTTTTCTGTATCTATTGAGAGGATCATATGGTTCTTGTTCTTTCTTTTATCGATGTATTCTATCACGTTGATTGATTTGTGGATGTTGAACCAACCTTGCAGCCCAGGAATAAATCCCACTTGGTCGTGGTGAATAATCCTTTTATTGTACTGTTAGATCCTGTTGTATTTTGGTGAGAATTTTTGCATCCATGTTCATCAGGGATATTGGTCTGTAATTCTCCTGTTTGGTGGGGTCTTCATCTGGTTTGGGATCAAGGTAATGCTGGCCTCATAAAATGAGTTTGGAAGTTTTCCTTCCATTTTTATTTTTTTGGAACAGTTTCAGAAGAATATTAATTCTTCTTTAAATGTTTGGTAGAATTTCCCTGGGAAGCCATCTGGCCCTGGGCTCTTATTTGTTGGGAGATTTTTGATTACTGCTTCAATTTCCTTGCTGGTTATGGGTCTGTTCAGGTTTTCTGTTCCTGTTTCAGTTTTGGTAGTTTATATGTCTGTAGGAATGCATCCATTTCTTCCAGATTGTCTAATTTGTTGGTATATAGTTGCTCATAATATGTCTTATAATTGTATTTGGTGTTGGTTGTGATCTCTCCTCTTTCATTCATGATTTTGAGTCCTTTCTCTTTTCTTTTTGATAAGTCTGTCCAGGGGTTTACTAATCTTATTCTTTGAAAGAACCAGCTCCTAGTTTCGTTGATCTTTTCTACTGTTCTTTTGGTTTCTTTTTCATTAATTTCTGCTCTAATCTTTATCATTTCTCTTCTCCTGCTGGGTTTAGGCTTTATTTCCTGTCCTTTTTCCTGCTTCTTTAGGTGTAAGGTTAGGTTGTGTATTTGAGAACTTTCTTGTTTCTTGAGAAAGGCTTGTATTGCTATATACTTTTCTCTTAAGACCACCTTTTGAACAGTTGTGTTTTCATTTTCATTTGTTTCTATGAGTTTTTTTGTTTTGTTTTTTTAAAGATTTTATTTGACAGAGCAAGAGAGCACATGCAGTGGAGAGAGGGAGAGCCTGACACGGGGCTTGATCCCAGGGTCCTGGGATCATGACCTGAGCCGAAGGCAGACAGTTAACCATCTGAGCCACCGAGGCGCCCCATTTCCATGAATTTTTTTAATTCTTCTTTAATTTCCTGGTTGATCCATTCATTCTTTAGTAGGATGCTCTTTAGCCTCCATGTATTTGAGTTCTTTTCAACTTTCCTCTTGTGATTGAGTTTCAGTTTCATAGCATTGTGGTCCGAAAATTTGCAGGGAATGATCCCAGTCTTTTGGTACTGGTTGAGACCTGATTTGTGACCCAGAATGTGATCTATTCTGGAGAATGTTCCATGTGCACTAGGGAAGAATGTGTATTCTGTTGCTTTGGGATGGAATGTTCTGAGTATATCTGTGAAGTCCATCTGGTCCAGTGTGTCATTTAAAGTCCCCTACTATTATTGTATTATTGTCGATGTGTTTCTTTGATTTTGTTATTACTTGGCTTATATAATTGGCTGTTCCCATGTTGGCATAAATATTTATAATTGTTAGATCTTCTTGTTGGATAGACCCTTTAAGTGTGCTATAGTGTCCTTCCTCATCTCTCATTATGGTCTTTGGTTTAAAATCTAATTTGAGGGGGCACCTGGGTGGCTCAGTCGTTAAGCATCTGCCTTCAGCTTAGATGATGATGCCAGGGTCTGGGATTGAGCCCCACATTGGGCTCCCTGCTCCACGGGAAGCCTGCTTCTCCCTCTCTCACTCCCTCTGCCTAGGTTCCATCTCTTGCTGTGTCCCTGTCAAATAAATAAAATCTTAAAAATAAAATCTAATTTGGCGGTGCCTGGGTGGCTCAGTCGGTTAAACGTCTGCCTTCAGCTCAGGTCATGATCCCAGGCTGGGATCGAGCCCCGCATTGGGCTTCCTGCTCATTGGGGAGCCTGCCTCTCCCTCTCCTCCCACCTCCTGCTGTCTCTTGCTCTGTCTCTCTCTCAAATAAATAAAATCTTAAAAAAAAATAAATCTAATTTGTCTGATAGGATTGCCACCCCAGCTTTCTTCTGATGTCCATTGGCATGATAAATGGTTTTCCACCCCCTCACTTTAAATCTGGAGGTGTCTTTGGGTCTGAAATGAGTGTCTTGCAGACAGAATATCGATGTGTCTTGCTTTTTTATTTGGGGTTTTTAGTTTTTTTAAGTTATTTTTACACCTGATGTGGATCTCGAACTTACGACCTCAAAATGAAGAGTCGCATGCTTCACGGACTGAGCCAGCCAGGTGCCCCCTTCCATTTCATATTTCTGCTAAAGCTCTACGTTACCTTCCTGCCTCAACCTGTGTATGACTGCAGACTATCCAGGTGTGGCCCCTTGTTCTTTCTCATCTCAAAAACATCAGAATCAGGTTAGATTTTCCTGCTGGTGTGATGGGGAGAACAGTTTGCTTGGTTACATTCCAGTAACTCTTCTTGTCTGAAGTTACACTGTAGCAGATGGTCCCTAATGGTTTGTTTGCAGCATCAGTTGCTTAAAGAACTATTGATGATGATTGAAGCCGAGTGATGGTTACATGGTAGCAGCCTCTAATACTTGCTGTGCTCTTGTGAATATATGAAATTTTCCATAATGGAAAGATTTTGTTTTTAAGAAAAGGTAAGTAGTCTAGAACTTGAAAGGTAATTTTTTGAGTTGTGCTCTGGATCATTTTATTTATTTTTTTTCAAATATTTTATTCATTTGAGACACACAGAGAGAGAGAGAGAGAGAGCATGAGCAGGGAGAGAGGGAGAGGGAGAAGCAGACTCCCCGCTGAGCCAGGAGCCCGATGTGGGGCTTGATCCCAGGACCCTGGGATCATGACCTGAGCCGAAGGCAGACGCTTACCCATCTGAGCCACCCAGGCGCCCCTGGATCATTTTATTTTAAACGATGGTGACCTTCCCAAGCTAGTCCACTTAGTTCAGGGGAGGCTGCCCTATAAAGCACGAAAGCATCATTCTCTTACTTAACGCCTTGGTTCTTGGCCAAAGAGCACCCCAAGGGCCAGGGTGGGATGTTAGCACAGCGTCTCCCTGCAGTGTGGTCTGGTAGCTGGCGGAGGTGGAAGGAAAACATGGGGGCCAGTGGGTATAGGTTGTCTCTAATCTGGGAAGTGCCTGCATTGGGCAGCCCGTGAGAACGATGTACCAGATGGACACGGCCCCCCAGTGCCCAGAGCCTGTGGCCGGCTGTTTTACAGCTGGAAAAACGGAAGGAATGGGGTATGAGAAACAGGGAGCTCAGCATTTGCCATCTCTCCGTGGACTCATTCCTGCTTCTCTTCCTCTGTCAGGACTGCACGTGTGAGGAGTTCTGCCCCGAGTGCTCGGTGGAGTTCACCCTTGACGTGCGCTGTAACGAAGACCAAACTCGTCATGTCACGTCTCGAGACCTCATCTCCAACAGCCCCCGGGTCATTCCAGTCAGTGTCTCAGCACATCCTCCTTTCCCGGGACCCTCATCGTCCTCCTTTTCTCTCAAAGTGGGCTAGACTCGGGTGGTTTGTTACAAGATGCGGATATTCCTTGTGTTTTACCCTCTGTCTTCCTGTGTCTGGTGCCTAAGAAGTGCTGATACTCCTGGACACTAGCCGGGGTGGACAGGAACACGGTCGGTGCTGTGGGCCCGTCCTCTGTCACCCAAGGACCCTTTTAAAGGCCATGGTACTGTTTTGACTGAGAAGGCGGTACCCATGAGGTCCTAGGAGGCACTTCTCTCCCTTCATTCCCAGGTTTGGCAGGTGTTGGAACATAGTTGCTGGAAGAGGTGACTGGGGCGACCGACAGCTAGCTCATACATGCCTCTGTTTGGGCTCCCTGCAGGTGACCTCCCGGAACCGAGATAATGACCCCAATGACTACGTGGAACAGGACGGTAAGGGGCTGGAGAACGTGTGCGTGTGTCTACCTGCCCTGTCGTTTTGCAGGCCAGCACGGAGGCTGAGACCCACAAGCCTCTTGTGCCGCCTGCTCTCCTTGTCATCTGACCTTTGAACTGTTTGTCCAGATCGTGTGGGGACCTCCAGGTCAAAATTCAGGGGACCGTGTCTCTACCGCCCCTTGACCGACTTAAACCTCTCCCTGCAGACATCCTTATTGTCAAGCTAAGGAAAGGCCAGGAGCTAAGACTTCGAGCCTATGCCAAAAAGGGCTTTGGCAAGGAGCATGCCAAGTGGAACCCTACTGCAGGTGTGGCTTTTGAATATGATCCTGACAATGCCCTGAGGCACACAGTGTACCCCAAGCCCGAGGAATGGTATGTTCTTGTCGGAGTAAAGGCAGGCCTTAGGGTGGGTTGGTGTGGACAGGGCTCTGAGGGAGCGGGGTGGGGGTAGGCTCCCTGTGGACAGCAGTGGTAGCTGCCTGTGCTGACTTGTATTTGACCTCAGGCCAAAGAGTGAGTACTCTGAGCTGGATGAAGATGAGTCCCAGGCTCCCTACGACCCCAACGGCAAGCCAGAGAGGTAAGACCCTCGTCTGGCACCTGAAGGTGAAGCGTGGAAGAACATAGGGTTTTGGTGCAGGTTCTGAGTTGGGGAGACCCTTCTCTCACGTCCCAGTGCCCGTGAGCTCAGGAAGGACGGAGAACAGTGGAGCCCATGCCACGTGCACGTCCCAGGGCAGATTATCCTCCACTAGTTATTGGGGGACAGAGGAGCCCTCCGGTTAGCCACTCTGTTCCTACTGTTGATACTCAACCCCCAGAGAAGGGGACCAGGCCAGAGCCAGAAATGGACCAGTCTTCTGATGATGAACATGAAGCTTTTTGAGGTGGCTGTGGCCTTGAAGTCCTGTAATGTGCAGCAGGACTGCTGTTGGCCGAGTTCCAGGTGGGAAGGGAGTCAGGACCCAGAAGGGAGAGCGCATGATCCCGGGCTGAAGCTCGGGCTAGTGAGCCTGCCTCGTGGAGGGCTCTCACCCGACTCTTCCTCTTAGGTTTTACTACAACGTGGAGTCCTGTGGCTCTCTGCGTCCCGAAACAATTGTCCTCTCAGCCCTCTCTGGATTGAAGAAGAAGCTGAGTGATTTACAGACCCAGTTAAGCCATGAGATCCAGAGTGATGTCCTAACCATAAACTAGCGGCAGCTCACCTGTTTTGGCAGAAAAGGGGTGGGGGGGAGTCTAGGCCAGCAGCTGGCTCTCTGGTCTCTTCAGAGCCTCTTGTAGCTTCTGGGTCTAGACAGCTGTTGCTCAGGCTTCTTGGCAAGCCATCAGTACCCCCTAGGAAGGTAGCCAAGGGGAAGAGGAGTCCCCTTCCAGCCTTGCTTCATTGCAGACAGATGGCCGGGGGTGCCACTGGTATCTGAGGCAGGACAGTTTTTTTACTAGACATCTAGGATCCCTGGCCCTGCCCCCGCCCCCTGATTGCCAGTAGTACCCCCAGAACATCCCTTCCAGCCCGTTTCCCGGTGTGCCTGGGTGGGGTGAGAACTGCAGAGCTGAACTGTCCTCTGCTGGTCAGTTCAGGTCTTAAACTTTCTGTCCAAAAGTTGTTCTCACAGTTGTACGTTGGGCTTCTGGTGAGTACTAAAACCCTCATTCTGGTTGCCTACAAACCCTTCCAGCCCCTGCCCAGAGCCAGCCTACTGGCACTTCACTCAAATCCTTGAGTGTCCCTAAGTTGAGAACCCTTAGAGAATAGTGTTAGACACTGGCTGCCCCCCACCCCAGATAAACCGTTTTTCCAACTTCACTGCCAGTGGCCTGATTATTTAAGATTGGGGGCTGGGGAGCAAGGGCCTTAATGAAGGTCTGGCCTTGACCCCTTACCCCTAGAGGTAGAGTCATGCCCAAAGCAGTTGATTAGGCAGTCTGTTAGGAGAAGCCAGGAGAAAACCAGAGCTCTGGTGCAGAAAGGAAGGGATATTTATTAACAGGAGCTGTCTTTTTAAAAGTTTTTATTTTTGGCAATAAAGAGCACAACATCATCTCCTTCATGCGTCATCGTGCCACTAACTTGAGCCAGCCCAGTCCTGCCTCCCTCTCCAAGGCCTTTGGCCCCAGGCTCCCATCTTTAGTTTATTCCTCTGGGTGGTCATTCCCTGGGTCAGGTTTGGAGCTGAGCTGGCTGTGGCCCCCTCCCCGGATCCAGGGCTCTCTGGGAGGGGCCTCTGGCTGGATCCTCCTGTCACAACTTGAATAGTGGTTATTTACAACAAGGTCTGTTCCCACAAATCAGAACCCTAAAGTTATTTAAAAAAAAAAACCACACACGCAACCCAAGGTTTGATGGGAATAGAAAGATAGCCCTTCTGCAAGGTAGTCAATAAATACCAGCACTAGAAAATCAATTGCTTTAATTGCATTTCAGCAGGGAGCCTCAGCACCATGTGGGGAAGAGGAAAGGGGAAGGGCTCGGTTTGAGTGCTTTTGGCTGGCCAGAGGGGGGCTGCCCTGGGCAGAGGGGCTCCCTCTGCTGGGACATCACCTACCCTCGGTCATGGGGGGGTGGGCAGCAGGGGTGTTCCCCACAGCAGTCCTGCTGCAGCCTGCCCTTCGGCAGGGAAGAGCTCGGGACTGGCTACCCTCCATGTCTGGCTGAGGGAACCAGCACCCCTGCCCTTGGGGTATCTTCTCAGCCTATGAAGCAGGAAGGAGCCTAGGCAGAAATTACATTTTAAAACCAGATTTTCACTTGAGGTGTCAACCAGCGGTCACCTCTGCTTAAAGCTCTCAAGTGCAAGGTTGCAAAGTGGCACCGTGGAAGCTCAGATCCTTCCCGTGCCACACGAGGCCCAGAGGAACAGAGAAGCCACTTGCTGTCCTAGCCCCTGGGTTGCTCAGGGAGAGCCAGCAGTCCCAGTGCCAGCCTTGAGCTGTCCCCTCCTCTGGCCCTGGCAGCTCCAGCCCGTCCTGGCAGCTGGAGGGCTGCCCCACAGAGGACGGGACAGCTGCCCTCACATTCAAAAACAGCCTCGACTGGGACCTGGTCGTGGGATTAAAAGTGTATGTCGTGGGGAGGGAGGGGGAAATCTCCTTAATATAGAATATGTCATAAGCCATATATATTAAAATCCTTAACAGTATACAGTCCCACAGTAGCTCCAGCCCTCACACATGCTCTGGTGCTGTGGCCAGCCCTGTGCCTTTGTCCAGGCTCACCCTTGGGGGCAAGGAAGGGACAGCTTGCTCCGTTTCTCCAGGCTCTGGGCTGGCAGCCCCCAGAGGCTGTCCACGGTACGCCGTGGGCGGTCCTGCAGTGCACCAGCCCCGCTGTCACTGGGCTGGGGTCTTGGCCTCGCTGCTGTCCCCCTGGCTGGGCTTTGGCTTTAGCAGGATGAATCGGTTGAGGAGGTCTGTCTCTGAGCTGGCCTGGGCTGCCCCGTACCCCTCACCTGTGGACACAAGAGGCAGGCTCAGGCCTCGGGCAGGTCCAAGAACCCCTGCGCGGAAGGCCTTGTCCTCCACAGCCCCATGCAGGGGAGCACCGCGGGGACTCACCGGCATAGCTGGAGGCCTCAGCAATGTTCTGGGAGCCTGTGATGTGGTGCCAGTAGGCGCTGCGGGGCAGCATGGTGGTGGGCGTGCAGGGATACGAGTAATGTTCCGCGCCCTTGTTCAGCAGCTGCGGGGCAGAGCGGGCGGGGGGTCCCTCCCTTCAGCTCTGGGGGCCGTGGTTTCCTCCCAGCTGTCCGCCCAACGCCCCGCCCGCCCCCTGGCTTCCCCGGCACCCTGGACTGGCTGATGCCCAGAGCCTCACCCGCACGTTCTTCTCCATCTCCAGCAGCACGCGCTTGTGTTGCTCAGCGATGGCCAGGGTGGCACTGTGGACCCGCTGGTAAATCTGTTCCCCTTCCTGGGTCTGGAAGGTGTAGAGCCCTTCCCCAGCATCGCACATCCTAGGGATGCGAGAGGCATAGAGGGCAAGGTGTTGGGGACCGCACCCCGGGCCCTCTGGGGAACAGGCAGGGCTGGTGGCCGGAGGGCTGTGCGCACAGCCCAGACGTGCCGGGCCGTTTCTGGGTACCAGATGAGCTCAGTGCTTGAAAAGAACCCGCCCACTCGGTCTTCTCTCTCGCCCCTCTGGGCTGCGCACCATTAGCCTTCCACTGAGCTTTCTAGAACCAGTTTGCAGATGAGGAAACAGGCACGCAGGCAGTCAGTAACCAAGCCCAGGTCATACAGAGGATTCCACAGAGTGTAGGTCGAGGCCCGCTCGCTAGAGGATGCCCAGTCCTCACTGTAATTCTACGAGGGGGCGTACTTTTCTGATTTCCTATTTGAAGAAACGAAGCCTCTGCCCACTGACACAACTGTAAGCCCCGGCACCCGCTCTGACTTGAGCCCAAGCAGCTTGACTTTGGTAAACAGCTGTGCCCTGGCTGCCTGCGTGAGCCTCGACGTCTTCATCTGTAAAATGGGTATCTTACATTCCCTTCTGGTTTTCTGTGCTGATAAATGACTAAAACTCCCAGCCCCGTGCGTGACAGCATGAAGGGCGGCCAAGAGGCCCACAGTGGGTCAGGGCAGGGAGGCAAGGGGGTCCTACCGGCCAGCCTCGAAGGTAAAGCGCGTGGCATCCCGGCCGTAGCGGCGCAGTGAGCACAGGGGCCACGAGACGAGCTTCACGCGGGGGTTGTGTATGTCCCAGAGGTAGATGTTCTCGTGGGTGATCTGCAGCTTGCACTCGCCATACACATCCAGGTTGGGGCAGGGCAGCAGGAAGACGTTGAAGCGGTCTGCAGTGAGGGAGGAGCGGGCCTGGAGCCTCCCCAGGGGAGGACTCCCCCCCCCCCCCCCCGCTGGCCCCTTGCCAGTGCCAGGCCTCACCTGTCTGCTCACACTGCACTCCTGGGGCCAGGAGGTCCGGCTCGCCGAGACTGATGTCGTTGAGTCGTGAACCCAGACACTCCACGGACAGCGTCTTGTACCATTCCTCCGCCTCCAGCTCTAGAGAAAGCGGTAGCTCGTGCCCGCCCAGGGTCCCCCAGCAGCCCACCCCATCTGCCTCAGCTTAAAGTATTCCCACCGTGCAAGGCAGGGAGGGCAAGGCCAGTGGATCCTGCCTGCCTGTCCCGCCTCATCCTGGGGACCTGCTCCCTCAAAGGCCCCCCCACTCCTTTCACCCCCACACATCATACCCAGCCGGGGCTGCTCCTGCTCTGCCTCCTCCCGATTGGACCACGACTGGCCCCGGGGGAGGCTGGATGGAAGCCCACAGCCCCAGCGCCTCACCTGAGTCGCAGGTGAAGGTACGCGCCGAGTCGTCAGTGAATATGATGGCCACCGCCTGCCTCTTGGTCTCCTTGGGGAGCCGCGTGACACACTTGACGTTGCTGATCTCGGTCACCTGGGACAGCGTCCACAAGGGACTGAGCCATGCTGGAGCGCCACCCTCTACATCCCTCCCCAGTTGTGCCACCCCCAGGAGGGTGCTCGCGGACCTCAGCATGCAGCAAATCATCACTGCTTACAGACCGGGGGAGCTAGGGCCCAAGCCCCTCTAACCTTGGGGCAGCCTCGGAGGCACACTGATTTCTCATCCGGATACTTCTCCAGCCGCTGGGGCCCCTTGCTGGAGGATTTCCGGAACACCAGCCAGCACCTCCGGTAGATCTGTGGGGTGAGAAAAGATGGGGGGGGGGCGCGAACCAGGCCTCCCGGGACCATTCCCACCCAAATGGCCCTGAAGTTACCCATGCCTACCGCAGGGGGCAGTGCTACCCAGCCTTCCCCGGAGACCCAGCCCAGGAGAAAACCTGGGGATGGCAGACACCAGCAGTGACACCCCCTTGGGGGACGGCCCCCTCCCCAAATTGAGAAAGCAGGCATTTCTTCGCTGGCTCTGAAAGACTGTTCCACAAAAGGTGCTCTGAATCACCAAGTACTGTGCGCTCAGCTCTCAGCTTAATAGAAATAGCCAACCAACATTCATTGAGTGCTTCCCATTTGTACTTAGCACTCTTCACAGTTAACCTCAGGGTCACTCTGGAGGTTGGTTTATCATCTGCACTTTACAGATAGGGAACTAAGGCACCAAGAAGTTAAGTCACAGCTGATAAATGTTGGGGCCATTATTTTTAAAAGGCTGGCTCGGCCCACAGCTGATACTTGGAGCCCACTGCATAAACATGCTGTCCAGGACTAGGCCGTGTCAGCCACAACGGAGGGAGTGTCCTAGGGACAGGGATTAGACCCTTGCCTGGACTCACAGCCTGCACATTACCCTGGCCCTTGTTCTCAGAGCCGGTGGAGGGCTCTGGATGTGGATCATACCTGCCCCTCCCGTCCCTGGCCGCCCTCTCTTCATTCTCTGACACGCTGGAGTGTAGGGGGCCAGGATTAGTTCCCTGTTCCAGTTGGGAAGCCAGAGGCTCTCAGGTAAAGGGGTAGTGCCAAGAACCTGGGGTCACCCCAGAGCACGGGGCCTTCCCAGGCAGGGCTCCCTCCTGTCCAACCCCACCAATGACCCTGTGCCTGAAACCGCCTACATTCTCTGTAGCTTCATGCACTCCTCCTGACAGGCAAGGAGCCAGGGGCAAACCGGCTTAGCAAAGCCCCTGAGGGGAGGCCCAGCCACCTGCCGAGGCTGCTGACTTTTCCTTCCCAGCGCCCTCAATCCCAGGCTCTCTTCCAGCCCAGAGTCTGGCCGGGATGCACCTACTGTGTCAACGAGCACTCCAGAAGCCTGGCACAGCCCATTCCCAAGGAGTCTCCGGTTCACCCTCTCACTGGCAACCGTAGGGAGGCTGAGGGGAGCCTGAGGGGAGCCAGAGCGGAGGAAGCAAGGGGGCCACAGCCCCAAGCCCACAGCCCCTCCACGGCCCGCTCTGCCATGCGGCCACCAGGTCCCCATGCCAGGAAGCCACTCAGAACCATTAATGGCTCCTATCTGGGGCTCTAGGAGGCATGTCTGCCCCCGTCCGCATGGCCCTGGCGCCACCCCTGGCCTGGCCACCTAAACCACAGCAGCTCCAGCTCTCCGCGGGGCAGCTCCTCTAGGACAGACTGTGTTTTCCTCTCAGAATCTGCCCTCCCATCCTGGTAACCTTGCTAGCACAGCTCTGCTAAACAAGTGAATAACCATACGAAGAGCCCGCGAATGAACGCAGGGACCAGTGAATGAAGGCAGCCGGCCCTGCTATGGCCTACCAGCTTGGGCTGCGTGCAGCCCGCACCCCGCAGCCTGCGGTGTTGGGGCAGAAGGCCCAGGGGCCTGAGCACCCTGGTTGCCTGGTTACAGAGAGATACACACATACACACGCACGCTCGCACGCACAGCCCCAGGGAGCCACTGTGGCTCAAAAGCCCGCTTTCCCCACTTCTCATGGTCTTTGATCAGCACTTCCGAACTCTGCCATAGCTCTGCCAGAGGAAGGCACTGGCGGGGAGACGGGTCTGCCCCCATCTCTTTCCGGCCCTCCCACCTCACCTTTGTGAGCTGAGAAGGGCCGCCCTGGGACAAGGATGCCCGAGTGACTGAGCCCCTCACATCAGACCTGCAGGGGGAAGCTGAATCCCCCAGGCAGAGGGAGACCCAAATTGGGTCTGGCCACAGCCCACACCCCGGCTCCCAGGGCCTTGCTGTGCCCACCTGTAGGCCACTTGGTTCCCAGGTCTCCTCCTGGAACAGGTCCGATACTGAGCCCAAGTGGCTGCCTCAAGGGGCTTGCCTTTCTGGTAAGCTCTGGCCAGTGCAGGGCCTTGGCCCAGGTCGCCCCTGGCAACCAGCTAGACCCAGGCCCACAGGAACGAGGAGCCATACTAGAAGCTGGGCCCCTACTCCCTTGGGCCCCCACCTCAGCTTCAGCTTCTCTCCTTGTTCTGAGCGCCAGGTGGGCTCCATCCCTCTCTCAGCACAACAGCAAGGTGGCTGATGCCCACCAGGGCCCCGTCTCCCGGGCTGGAACCCAGGCTGGGATACAAATTCAAATCCGGCCAAGCCTCCCGACATGCCCACAGCTAAGCCACTGCACTCAGCCTGGACAGAACACACCCCACAGGGGCCGGCAGGGCCACAGAAGGGGAGGAGGGGCAAGAACCACCCTTAGCTCTAAGGCCAGCCATGTTCAGTCTGGTATCCAGGCAGGGAAGCCATATCAGAGCTCTATTCCTCCCCCACCCCACTCAGGCTGAGCCAGGAAGCCTTGAGCACTCTGATCCCACCCCACCCCCATCAGGGCAATGGGGGAGCGGAGGAAGAGAGAGACAGGGAAGGGGGGTGGCGGGAAACACAGACTCGGGCCAACTCCGTCGGGAGGGTTACCTTCCTACTGGGGAGGGTGCGGCTACCAGGGCCCCCCCGCATTGGAGGTGGGGGAGGGTCGGCAGGGGAAGAGAGGCAGCTCTTGGACAACCTCACCAAGATCATTGAGTTGGTCCCCGGAGCCCCTGCTCAGGCCCTCTGGGGCGGGCGGAAGAGGCGTGTCTGAGGCCTCATCCCCACAGACCCGTTGAGCCCCCAGCTCTGGGCCAAGCACCCTGCGAGCAAGGAGCCACCGCCAACAACTTGGAGGAAAGCAGCCTGTCCCAGAGCCACTGGCCATCCTGCACTAAGTTCCCATTCATAAGCCACATGAATACCAGCTTCTGCACCCTCTGCGCCCTCCCACCACTGCCCTGCCCCGCGGCGACCACTCTTCTTTCCCAACACTTCTCTAACAGTGAGAGCAATAACCAAAATAAATACCGAAGGAGCCGCACACAGAAAGCCACGGGCGGCTGGGGGAGACAACGGACTTAAAAGAGGCCAGGCGAGGGGAGGGGAGACGCGGGGAGGCGAGGCCGCGAGGCGGCCGGGGCCGGGGGAGGCGGGTCTCCGCTCCGACGTGGCCCCGCAGCCGCCGGCCGGGCCACAACTTCAACAATGGCAGGGGAGTCGCCTGCCCGTCGGCGGCCACCGCTGGCCCAGCCGCTGGGACGCCGGCCACAGCCGGCCGTGGGGGGTGCGCAGGCAGCACATGCCGGGCAGCCGCCGGCCACAAACCTCGAGACCACGAGTGTGCGACGCCGGCCCCGCGGGCACCCCCCCCCCCCCGGGCTCCCGGCCGGCACTGCCCTCCCCCCACCCCACCCCCCCCGGCCCGGCGGCTCACCCCCAGCTTCCTGCTCTTCATCTTCACGTAGCCTTGCTTGACGATGTCGTTGAAATTGGTCGCCATGGTCTCCCCCCCGTGCCCAGCCGGGGCGCCGGGCCGGGCGCGGGGAGGGCTGCCCAGGTGGCCTGGGTTTCCGGATCCTCCTATCACCTGTTCCAGACGCTCCGTCGGCGGGGCCGCGCCGGCCGCTCCTCACCTCGCCCGCCTCAGCATTGTTCTAGCAGTTCCTCTGCCCGGCGCCGGCTGGAAAGAAGAATGACAGGGAGATTAGACAGTGACATCTTTCTCTTCCCCTGGCTGTCTCGCTCTTTTTTTCCTTCCTCTTCCCACACTGCTCCCTCCCTCCGCCCGCCCTCCTTCCTTCCCTTCCCTCCCCACCCCGGGACGGCAGAACCATTCAGGAAAACCGAGGTGGAGGCCACAGCGAGGAAAATGGTCCAGCCCAGTCCCCTCCCTCACGGCTGGGGCTGGCGGTTAACCCCTTCCTGGGAGGCCTGGCGCTGGCTCCCACTGTGGAGCTCTGGACAGAGGGAGGTGGCCCGGGAGCTGCGGTCCCGTGTCCCATCTCCCGGTACAACTCTGGAGCAGACTTAGGGTGACCGGCCCAGGGCCAGGCCCCCTCCCGTGCCCAGGAACCTCACGGGAGAGCCTTCCAAGAGTGGGGAGGCGGGGGTTCCCAGGAGATGGCACAGTCTGGGGTCTGAGTGAACCCCCCACTCCCCGAGGTTCGTTCAGGACAATTTGCCTTGTCAATCTCAGTAGACCCCTCTGCCCCACCCCATTCTATACCTGGTTCTCTCCAGGCCCAGGAGGGAGGCTGCCAATCAAGCCCACTCAGGCCCTCCCCCTGGCCCCTGGAACTCTTCAGCAGCTCCTCTGGGTGCTGCTTCCTGGGTGGGAGGGCAGAGTCCGGCGGGGCGGGGCGGGCCCCCAGATAAGCCTGAGGAATGTGCTGGGCCGGCTGGAGGTGGCCACTGTGGAGGCAGTCACCTCGGCCTGGCACTGTGCTAGGAAAACCGGCTGGTCTGCAGGGGCGCGGGCGCTGCAGTGCCCCACGTCCTGAGCATGGGCGGGAGTTAATTACAGAGAGAACCAGCAGTCACCCGGCCCTGGGGCTGAGGACACAGCTAGAGAGCCGTGAGGAGCACCAACGGGGATGCCAGCAGGGCCGCTCAGAAGCGGGCAGATAAACACATAGCTGGGACGCAGACTAGGGGAGGCGGGGGTGTCTCAGCAATGACACGGTCCAACATACCCGTTCTACAGATGGGGAAAAGAAAGTTGCCCGGAAAGGATAAGCAGCATGGCTAAGGTCACACAGCAAGTCTAGGGCGCAGCCAACAATGAATGAGAAGTCTCGGAGCGGGTGATGGAGGCAGGCCCAGCGGGGGTGGGAATGTCCTGTGGCCACCTCCGGCTGCCTACCGGCACCGAAGCCCTCTCTGCCCCCCCAGGCGCAGCAACACGGCCCCCTGTGTCTCCAGGATTGCTAGGTGGGAATGCGGCACCATTTCTGGGGTCCGCTGGGTGTCTGTGCTGTCAGGATGAAGCCCTGGGGCCGGCGTGCTGCTGCATCTGCCAGCAACGTGGCATTAATTCCTCTCCCGAAGGACTGTCTGCTGAGTCCCTAACAAGGAACAGATGGGCCTACCCCAGTGGGCACACACAAACAAGGGGAGGGGCAGAGAGGGTAATGCTCCCCCAGCCTACCTGCACCTGACGGCCTCTTCAGCACATCCTCAGCTGCCTTCCTGCCCACTCACTCCCGCCAGCCCAGCCCCCTGGGGTCCAAGACCCTCCCAGATGGGACACCCCAGGGCTCTGCTTTCCGCCTGTAAAGTCTGGTCTAGGCTCCCCTCCCCAGCACTGACCCCAAGCAGCCCTGCCACACCTGGGCTCTGGCCGGCAGAGACTGGAAAGTCGGCGAGGAACCCCCTCCGTAAAAATCCCCTCCAAGATGACAGCAGGCCAGCCACTGGCCACAAGGCCTCTGGGTTCACTCAAGGCAATCTGGGATGTGGCCCAGCCACGAATGTGAATCCAGCGGCCTGGCGGCTCTGGGTACCCACTTCCCTTCTCTGTGCCTCAGTTTCCCCATCTACTTTCAAAGAGGAAATAAATCCATGGGCATCTGTCTGCCCACTTGGGACCCAGAGCTTCCGCCTTGAAAACTTTTACAGGCTATGAAACGACCATAACCAAGCCTTCCACCTGCCCAGTGCAGGCCCCTTGTCACGGCTCCATCGACTGGCTACCTTCCCAAGCGACTGTGATGCCAAGCTCTCAGCAGCACTGCCGTGTTTGTCTATGCTTAGGCCCACGCCCCAGGCCCTAGAGTCAGCCCCGCAGAAATAAACCAGCGGAAGAGCAAGCTGACACGGGAAGCCTGGGTGGCAAAGGGCTTGGCAGCTCACCTGGCCACACTCAGTCCCTAATGGAGTTTGCAAGCCCAAGGCCCAGCCTGGGAGCCACAGGGGTACAGCAAAGGGGAGTAAGGGAGGGAGGGGGAAAGGCCAACAGGTGGACCCACAATTCTGACGGGCAGCGGGATCAGGCGTGGGGGGTACCCAGCACGAACACCTCCCCCTGAGGGACTGCAAAGCGTGAAGCTGGAGAGGGAGGCCCTGGCGGGGAGTGTGGCTCCGTGTTGCTCGGAAGGCCAGGAACAGGGCTGAGGCCACTTTCCCCATCACTGCTGAGCTCCCACCTGCTCTGCCTCTCACGAGCCCGCCCGCGGCCGGGAAGAATGCCCCACTCCTGCAAGGCCTGAGGTCTCGGGCCTGGGAGCTCGGCTCCAAACACCCAGAAAAGCTAAGCAGAGTGCCCAGCAGGGCCCCCCATTCCCCCCTCCCAGCTTGGCGTCAACATGGCCGCTCAACCAGACATAGGACCCACCCTGAGCCGGGCCACTAAGGACTCCTGTCCAGAGAGGGCCCTTTCCCCAGCTCTCCCCAGGAAGGGCAGGGGTCCTGCGGGGCAAGGGCACAGGGACTCCCTGGTGCCCAGCAGAGCGGCGGGGACAGGGCCCATGCCCACCTGCCCCCTAGGGCAGTGGCTCAAAGCATGCCCTCCCTGCACGTGGATTCTGCCTGGGGGCTTTGGCTCCCGGACAGTCGGCAAAGTAATGGCTGAGCAAGAGCGGCTGCCTGCCTGGCTGGGCGCCCCCACCCCAGGACAGATAGGATCCTATCAGGGCTTCAGGGACAGCCCTACCTGCACCCGCTGTCATCTCGCCATCTCACCCCCTGGCAAAGATGCTATCGGCATCGGCAGGATTCTCTCCGGCACCAGGGACATTTCCCATCACCTGTACCGGGGCCCTCTCTCCCCCAGCGTGATGGTTATCAGGGGCCAGGACAGGATTCCCCCATCCTACCCTCTGCCTCCACCCCTGCAAACCCCCTCACGGGGAACCACCGCCCCTAACACGGCAGGTCTCATCCCTGGACAGATCTGGACAGAAAGGAACAGAGGGAGGAGGGAACATCTGCACAGCCACGGTGTCCTGGGCCCTTAAGTCAGGAAGGTGATGCTATGCTGGCACACAATGCCACCCTGCTCTCTCCTGGTCCCTCGCCCAAGGCTCTGGCCTCATCTCCCCCTGCAATGTATGCATGGGCGCCTTCTATCCGTTCCTCAACATGCCTAAATCCTTCCCATGCAGGACCCCTGCACTTGCTGTTCCATGCCTACAACACTGTTCCCTCAGACGGTCCAAGGTTCATTCTATCGCCTCATTCAGGTCTCAGCTCAAACGTCACCTCCTCCGAGAAGCCTTCCCTGACCACCCTGGCCAAAGAAGCCTGCCAGTCAGTCTCCATCCAGCCCCACTGTCTTCCATCACACACATCACTATAGGGCTGTCTTGTTCCCTCATCTCTTCCTTTGCTGCTTGGCCACTCTCTGTCTCCTAGAACACTCTAGAACATCAGTGCCTTGTCTGTCTAGTTATATATAGCTCCATCCCAGGGCACAGACTGGTGCCTAGTGCAGAGTAGGTGCTCAGTAACTGGGGACTGAAAGCATATATTGTCTCCAGGACTTGTCCTCCTCATCCTCCCTCCCACCACCACTCAGATCCACCTGGCAGGACCCAGCTCAGCTTCCAGAGGCCTGTAAGTAGCGATGGGCTCCCACTTCCCTCGGTCCCAGGGCTTTCACAGGGCTGTCATGGCCAGCAAACTGTTGTTCCTGGAGAACCAGCCAGGCCCCAGACCCAGTTGAGTTAAAGCTGCCTCGGGGGAGAGGGTACCGCTGACACTGCATCCAGGCCTGGCCCCTCCTTGGTCAGAGTTGTAGAGTGCCCTGCCCAGGAAGGAAGATTGAAAAGTAGGCAGCACCCAAGCACACAGAGGCAAGCAACTGGGTGGGAAGGGGCCCAGCTCCTGACAACCCATCCTGGAAGGGGGGAAGAAATGGCCTGCGCTTGAGCCCCATCTCTCTGCAAGGGGCTGGAAAAGAATCTGCACTAAACAAGACCAGCCTCTAATCACTGCCATGAATCCTGCTGGGCCTCTCTCACTGCCCTTGACTTGCAGCCCCCTAAACCCCAAATGCTCCATCTAAGTATCCTGGCAACTGCCCTGCACCCACAACTTGGGACTGGCCTGCACAGAGGCCCTGCTCTGCCCACATCACCCAGGTGCTCAGCCTCTGTACATCCCTCTTTGCAGTGACAAAAAGCATTTAACTGGAAGCAGGCCCTTGGGGGCTCCCGGGGGGAAGGTGGGCAGTCCCCCAGGGCCAGGGGAGGAAGGTTCAAGGAAAGGAGGGGAGCTGGCCATGAGTTTAAGTTGTAGGATAACAACCATTTGCAGGTGGGGGTGGGCAGTGAGCAGCTGGGGTAGAGAAGTCTCTTGGAATTTGGGGGAGCTGAGAGCAGGCCATGGGGAGCAGGAAAGTGGGGAGGATGAGAGCTGCGATGGGCTGGGATATCCCCTTGGGGATGGCAGGCCCAGAACAGCGAGCACAGGGGCCTGGGCGTCTCCGACGGCTGGTGTGGGGCAGGGGTGAGGGCAGGCCCCGACCTGGGCTCCACTGGCGGGGAGAGCTGGGGTAGGTGGAGCTCGGGGAGGGTTTCAGGGGCCCGGGTGGTGGTGGGGGGCGGCCCGGGGGGGGGCGCTTTTACGGGCGGGTCCCCGAGGGCCCCTCCGCCGACGGGGTAGGTAGGTCCCATGGGCTTGGAGAGTTCCCGGGCTGGAGTCGCCCAGGGTCTCGCGGGCTCGGGCGCGGCCTAGGCCCCCTCCCCGCCTCGCGCCCCCCAAGTTACCTGGGCGCCAAGGCCCGGGCCCGGGGCGCTTGCTCGGCGGGCGGCGGGCCAGGCTCATGCCCGCGTCACGGCGCGGCCGGCGGGGGCAGCGGGGCGGTGGCGGCGCCGCTCCGGGTGTGGAGCGCGAGGGAGGCGCGGCCGCCGGGCTGGACTCCGGCAGAGACTCGACTGCGTTGCGCCAGCCGCCGGCGTCCCGCCCCGCCCCGCCCCGCCGCCCCGAGGCCCTGTCCCGCCCCGCCCCGCCCCGCCCCGCCCCACCGCCCCCGAGGCCCGCCCCCGCCGTATTCCTCCGAGCCGCGGGACACTGGCTTCAGCCCCGGCCCACACAGCTCGCCGGCGCCGCCCCTTCAGCTCGCCCTCTGTAACCTGCCCAGCCCCACCGCACCTCCCTGGGTCCCCAGTCCCAGCCTCCTATCGCCTCCCAGCCCCTGAAAGCTGAACCCTAGAACAGCTCCCAGCCCCCAAATCTCAACCCGCAATTCCTTCAGGAATTGCGCGCGTACAGACACACACACACACACACACACACAGACACACACACACACCCATTGCTCCCCTATCCCCAGTAGGACTCCCAGGTCCCTCCAAGCCCAACCTCCCCAAAA